CTCTCTCTGTCTTAACATTCACTTCGCTATTGAATAACAAGAATTTTTATATATTTTTGAGTCGATGTGTACTTAAAAACTTACTAAAAGTGTCTGTTATTCCCACTGTTTCACTGTATATATCTCTCGTATGCGTACACTATATGAACACACTGTATGGTACAGTACAGCGCGTACGACGACTACTGCCAATAATGTACCCAACGATATAAATTTATTACACATTTAGTAAAGACAGTTAATTATGTTCGTAAGCGTATGTGCGAACACACATCCCATACACTCGTCTATAATAAGTTAATATCAGTCCATCATATCATTTGCTAATAACCGTTGTGTGCATACATACGGGCGCTGTACTCTCGCCTAGAGATCGTTGCATTTAATAAAGTGATATTCACTAAACAGTTTAACTATTTGTTTTAAAAAAAGTTATTCTATATAGATAAAACTTATTTTAATATTCTGTGTTTAATAAGTTTATTTAACTTAATTTAATTCAACGTGAATTGATTTAAACCCAAACAGAATTCATATGCCTATTGTGTTTGTAAATCAATCCCAACACCACCAACACGTTCAACATCAGGCACCGGCACCACCGCCACCGCCAACAGCGCCGGCACCGCAACCGCCACTAATACTAAGGCAACAACTATTACAACAACAGCCGTCGCGACACCAATACTATCCCAACGACCAGACCATTAGTGCCAATAAGACATCGATGGAGGCCATCAAGATATGTGTGGTCTGCGGGGATCGGGCTAACGGTACGTGTCCTACAATTGCTACCATAATTCACTACCCTTTTTACCATAATCTAACACTTTTCGTATGACTTTCCCTCTTTAAAAAACCGCAAAATTGTACTTTTACTTCTGTGTATTGATAATTATGTTTATTTATTTTTCTCTCTCAAACATTATTTAGGCTATAATTTCAATGTAATCGCTTGTGAGTCGTGTAAAGCCTTCTTTCGACGAAACGCGTTGAGGAAAAAGGTTTGTAAAAACATTTATTTAAATATTTTATAATGTATTTTATGTATATTTTGTGTGAATATATTATTGGTGTTAATTGTGTGAACACAGTATTATAATTGTGTGGCCTTACAGTGCCTTACAGTGTGTGTGCGCGCGGAGGGGCACAGGAAGGCCAGGAGAGTCGGCACACAGGGGGGGTCTATATCTATCGGAAATGTTTAAGCTAGTTTGCGAACTGTTATAATCAAAGTACTTTAGCATGTATTATGTGTGCACTAGATAACCTAATTTACAATCGTATAATACACACACTGTTCATAAATATATTGATATCACCATGATGCACTATTAAATAGACGGTTAGTTAGTTAAGGGGGAGGGCTCGCGGGGGGCGAGTGAACTAAATTAGTACATTAGTTACTAGCGCTAGATATACATGTATATTCTATATATAATACTATGTACTGTACTTCTAATCGGAATAACTTATGCATAAAAGTACCATAAAGTGCCATAAGTATCGCATTAACATGGTACACGCAAGTTAGAGAGCTATTTCTTTACTTGCAGTTTAATTGTTTTAGATTAAATTTAGTGCAAAGTGCATAAATTAATTCATAAACTAATTAATCATGTATTATTTCTCTCTCGCACAGGACTTTAAGTGTCCATTCAATGGCAACTGTAAGATCGATGCCATCACCAGAAAGTTTTGCCAAAAATGCCGATTACAGAAGTGCTTCAACAGTGGTATGAAAAAAGTGAGTACACATGCACTTTGCATATATGCTATTTTCCCTGTGCTAATGATGTCGGTGCTGGTTGTGGTGGTACTGGTGCTGGTGTTGGTAGTGCTGGTACTCTGGTAGACAGAATTATGCTATATATTTATTGATGGTTTATAACTTTAAGTGCATGTTATATATGCACATGTATATTCATATTGTTACCCAGAGTACATTGACAATGTAACAATGTACATTGCATATTTGTTCAGTGATGTGAGTGCAAGCAAACAATATCCGCCGACACCAGTACACCCATTGCACCATTGCATACCACTATCAGAATATAATACTCATAAACAGATTATATAGATTAATAAAATAAATTTTCTTATAATACATGGTAGAGTTGTTTAATGAGTACACTATTTGCTCACAAACGTACTTATGTTCTATCAATTATATGCGCTATGAGATGCCCCTAAAGTCCTTCACTGTATTATTACTGTACATATCATACATCCTATGAATGATCGATAAAAAGCACTGTATTTTATATAATAAACTGATTATTATATAAAGTAATAAAAAATGCAATTAATAATTGATAATTAAAATTGTTTTTTTCAAATGTATTTTTCATAGGATTTGATACTAACGGATGAGGAGAAGCGGATCATTAAGTTTAAAATAGCCGAAAACAAACAGAAAAGGGTTAAACTGAGCGATAGTCCCAACGGTTCGGTGGACTCGACCACAGCCGCCGCCCACGTCGGCCGACCCCTCGGACCCCTTTCCCACCCGCCGCCCCATCACAACAGCCAACACCACATGTCTGGTGTGATCCCCACTGGCGTACCGATGGGCACCTATACTGCCAATCAGTATTTGTCGCAAATCATAATGAATAGCAACAACACGAATATCAGTAATAACTTTCTCAACAACAATCATAACATCAATAATAATAATATTAATCATATGAACAATAATCACATAAATCACAACATTTTGCACAATTGTTCGCATATTATGTCATATAATATGGACTACAATAAAGCAAATAAGAGAAAACACAGCGAGATCCAAATGGCTGGCAGCCCATCCCTACCCCGCAATTGGTATATAAACTGTTTTATTTATTATTTTTTAATTAATAATTAATAATGAATCACCCTGGTGAATAATATCAGGCTATATAATTAATTATCCAGAAAACGTTTTACGAGCAAAACAATTAATCGTTAAGGTACTTTATGACACACATAATTTCCCCGATCATAAATATTGCGAAAATTATCTGAAATTAAATCCAATAACAACATGATTTAGTTACCGGGAATAGTTATGTTTGATCTAATCTATGCCAATTATAGGGAAAGTTAAGCCTAAAAATGTCTACACATTTACGTCATTAGCATGTATAATTTAGTTGTATGTATACATTTTAACAGTATTTGATCAAGGGGAAAGTACCTGTCCCGGGCAGTTGCCCTTCAATTTACATGTTATATCAATAATAATAATATTAATCATATGAACAATAATCACATAAATCACAACATTTTGCACAATTGTTCGCATATTATGTCATATAATATGGACTACAATAAAGCAAATAAGAGAAAACACAGCGAGATACAAATGGCTGGCAGCCCATCCCTACCCCGCAATTGGTATATTAATTGTTTTATTTATTATTTTTTAATTAATAATTTATAATGAATCACCCTGGTGAATAATATCTGGTGAATATAATTAATTAACCAGAAAACGTTTTACGAGCAAAACAATTAATCGTTAAGGTACTTTATGACACACATACTTCCCCGATCATAGATATTGCGAAAATTATCTGAAATTAAATCCAATAACAACATGATTTAGTTACCGGGAATAGTTATGTTTGATCTAATCTATGCCAATTATAGGGAAAGTTTAGCCTAAAAATGTCTACACATTTACGTCATTAGCATGTATAATTTAGTTGTATGTATACATTTTAACAGTATTTGATCAAGGGGAAAGTACCTGTCCCGGGCAGTTGCCCTTCAATTTACATGTTATGTCGATAGTTAGCATATAGATAAAATGATTAACATCACGTACAATCAGGTTATGACTAAAATAATTAGCCTTTTTTGCATAAACATTGAAAAGTTTGCAATTAATTGAATGTTTATAAATCGTTACGTAATCTCATTATAATAAAAGTTGTTTAAAATTAATTATAAGTTTATCGTTAAAGTGCATAATAAATAGCAATTTTTGAGTACTTTAAATAGCAAATAGTACAGACATTAGATAATTAATTAGATAAAAAGTTTATACAAAACATAATTAATTACAATCCGAGAAAAACAAAATTTTTTTTAGTGCATAGAAAAAATGTTCACAAAAGTGAAAATGACATTAATATTAAATTTTTAAGTGCATTATTAATGAATAAAATAATGTACAATAATGTACAAAATCCATAACAAAAAAAGTAAAATAAATGATATATTTTGTTCATAAAAACAAATTAATTATTTACTTAAAAACGACAGTATGTACTGTACATAATAAATGTAATTGACATTAATGAAAACATATCGTTTTGGTGCATTTCTCAGTTACAAACTGACGTAACACAATAGTATCCTGGGTAGTTTTAGACGTGTTTATACATAGATCTATTTATTCACCGTTGATTGTTTCGTCCGTAAACGTCAAATGTACTATAATTAACATGTTGCAATAACACATTAGCTATAATAATAAGACCATTATAATAATTATTATATATATACAGTGTAATAATTATAAAAATCAATAATTAAGACATTTAAACAATTCAATTCCTTAGTGCATAAGTGAGCGTAAAAATAACCTAGACTAATTAATACAATTAATGAATGCTAATTATATATATTTATTTATTTGTTGGGCACCTGTAGGCACGTGAACCACTCGGGCGACGAGAGCAACGGCTCCAACAACAGTAACCACAGCCGGCCGTCAGTCATAAAATTTTCGCCGATTGAGGCCAAGAAGACTGCCATGAATTTAGAGGAATTGGAGTTTTTTAACAAATTTTTCTGTTTGAATAAATTGGAGGAAATATTCCGGTCGGAGATCGAGAGCGACTCTCACAGCCCGTCAGCCCCGGGAGTCGTCGCCGTCGACACCGGCGACAAACTGACCATAAAGTGCGAGAACAGCGACCCTAAAGAGGAGACAGTGGGCGCGTGTCGGGCGCTGACAGCGGCGCCCATCGACCCGACGCCCGTCCATCACGTG